GGATCCACGCCTCTGGATGTTGCTGCAGCTTCCTGCATTGACAACAATGAACTGGCTTTAGCTTTGCAAGAGCAAGACCTGGAAATGGTTAGAGGAAAACTCTCACACAGAGACACGGAATTATTTGATTTGGACTTGGTAATTAATAATGTCTGTTTGTGGTGTAGGTTGTGACCTACTTGGCAGGATGCGGGCTTCAGATGTGTCCAATGCTGTTGTCCAAGGGCTACCCTGATATTGGATGGAACCCAGTAGGGGGGGAGCGATACCTGGACTTCCTCCGTTTTGCTGTCTTTGTCAATGGTCAGTACCACCAGAACTCATGATCTTGAGCCATAAATTATTTCTGCTCACTGTTCGTCAACCTGATCTTTACAGGAGAAAGCGTGGAAGAGAACGCCAATGTTGTGGTTCGTCTGCTCATTCGTCGGCCAGAGTGTTTCGGCCCTGCCCTGAGAGGAGAGGGTGGTAATGGTTTGTTGGCTGCCATGGAAGAGGCCATCAAGATCTCAGAGGATCCAGCCAGAGATGGTCCCACCGTCAAAAAAGACAGACGCTTCATGTAAATGATGACATGTAGTAGGCAATGCACATGTGTCTTTCATGTAGTTTATTGTCATTAATACTGACAGAGAATTTTTTCCTTGGCAGGTTTGGTGGTGAAGAACAGCAAGAGGAGAACCGTGTGCACCTGGGAAATGCCATCATGTCCTTCTACTCAGCTCTCATTGATCTGCTGGGTCGCTGTGCCCCTGAGATGCATGTAAGTGAAAGTATATTTTAGAACATTGATTTTTTCCTTAGCCTTCAGGAACACACAGATGGTTGATTGAAGAGAAGGGATTAGGTTTATTCACTATGGCTTAAATGTCATTATTACAGCTTATCCAAGCAGGGAAAGGTGAAGCTCTGCGAATCAGGGCCATCCTGAGGTCTCTGGTTCCCATAGAAGACTTGGTGGGAGTTATCAGCTTGCCTGTGCAGATTCCTGCCTATGGCAAAGGTTAGGCATACACTAATGTCATTACTTATGTAGAATTGGTTTTGCTACCATTCTGATTTGTTCTGTATTAAAATCACAGATGGTCAGATTATTGAGCCAAAGATGTCAGCCAGTTTTGTACCAGACCACAAGGCTTCCATGGTCCTGTTCCTTGACAGAGTGTATGGCATTGATAACCAGGACTTTTTGCTTCACGTTCTGGAGGTCGGCTTCCTGCCAGACATGAGGGCTTCAGCTTCCCTGGACACTGTAGGTTCATTTTAAAGAACATCTGACATCTTCCAAAAAGTTCAAATGTTTTGATGTGCATTTGCTTTCACCTTTTGATTTTAGGTGGCATTCAGTACAACCGAAATGGCCCTGGCACTGAACCGATACCTCTGCTCAGCAGTTCTGCCTCTGCTCACCAAATGTGCCCCGCTATTTGCTGGTTCAGACCACCGTGCCATCATGATTGACTCAATGCTCCACACTATCTACCGTCTGTCCAGAGGCCGAGCCCTCACCAAGGCCCAGAGGGATGTCATTGAGGAGTGCCTCATGTCACTTTGCAAGTCAGTTTCCTTAATTAACTTACCTTTTATCACAAGAAAGAAGAACAGACGATTTATGAAATAAGCCCATAGGGAAACAATTTCCAGAGCCAGATTTCTTCTCATGTTTCCTGATGATGTTCATAGGTATCTACGGCCATCGATGCTGCAGCATCTGCTCAGACGACTGGTGTTTGATGTGCCCATCCTCAATGAATATGCAAAGATGCCTCTTAAGGTTTGTTGGCTGTTTCATATTTGGAAGCACATATGCATATTACATTATTAATATTAATATCACATATGCATATTACATTATTAATATTTGGCCAATACCTTGTTCATATTTGTAATTAACATATTCAACATATTGAATTTAAAAAAAAAAAACAAAAACAGCTGTTGACCAATCACTATGAGCGCTGCTGGAAGTATTACTGTCTACCTAATGGATGGGCCAATTTTGGAGTGACTTCAGAGGAAGAGTTGCATCTTTCCCGTAAACTCTTTTGGGGAATTTTTGAATCTCTTGCACACAAGGTGAGAGAAAATTTCCTTTAAAGCATCCCATTAATAAAGATATTATCATATTATTATTGATGTGTTTTTTCTGGTTTTATCCAAACTCTAGAAATTTGATGCAGAACTCTTTAAGATCGCCATGCCCTGCCTCTGTGCGATAGCAGGTGCCATTCCACCTGACTATGTGGATGCCAGCTATTCCTCTCACACTGAGAAAAAGGCCTCTGTTGATGCTGAGGGCAACTTTGATCCCAAACCTGTGGAGACCACCAAGTGAGCAGATAGTAGAGCACACTTCATTTTGATGTGCAAAAAAAATAAGTTTGTCATATGTAACACCTTGAAGTACTGTAGATAGTATCGACACGGTTGATAGTAAAACTATTACAAATATTGAGCAACAATAACTTTGATCATTCATATTTGAACTGTTACAATTGTTAATCCACAGCACTATAATCCCTGAGAGGCTGGATGCTTTTATTAACAAGTTTGCTGAGCACACTCATGACAGATGGGCCTTTGAAAAAGTGAGTTCAGTAAATGAAATTTAAATGTGTAGTTTCTTTTGATATGTGGTTCATTTATTAAGCGTTAAATAATGAAAACCTTTTGCAGATCCAGAACAACTGGACCTATGGAGAGCTGTTAGATGAGAATGCAAAAACTCACCCAATGCTGCGACCTTATAAAACCTTCTCTGAAAAGGTACCTTTTTAATCCTGATGTGACAACACCTAATCTCTATGTTTGATGATTTTTTAAACAGCATAAAAACATATTTTATTAATTTTCTTTTAGGACAAAGAGATCTATCGTTGGCCCATTAAAGAATCTGCCAAAGCTATGTTAGCTTGGGAGTGGACCTTGGAGAAAGCCAGAGATGGTGAAGGAGAAATTGAGAAAAAAGCTGCCACTCGTAAGATCTCCCAGACTGCTCAGGTATTACATATATAGTATAATTAGAAAAGATCATTTCAAATCTAACTGCCTTATTTCCAACATCACAATATCTAGATGCATCTTGTATTTATTGAAGGGATTTGTAAACTTCCCACTTTTTTTTTATTGTTAGGCCACCTATGACCCCAGTCATGGTTACAGCCCTCAGCCAATAGATCTGTCAGGAATGGCCTTGTCCAGGGAGCTGCAGGTATTGTTGTTTATCTCACTACAACTTCTTAGTGTCTTGAGGATTTATGCAGTCGTTCACTACATTCATACGTTTGTTTCACAGTCAATGGCTGAACAGCTGGCAGAAAACTACCACAACACTTGGGGTAGAAAGAAGAAGATGGAGCTTCAGACCAAAGGTTAGAAAGGTTTTTCTATCAATGGACACTGATACAGAGCATCAATAGCTTGCAGTTGTGTGATTCACAGAATGATGTGTGTTTATTAACAGGTGGAGGCAGCCACCCGCTCCTTGTTCCTTATGACACCTTGACCGCTAAGGAGAAAGCAAGGGACAGGGAGAAGGCCCAAGACCTGCTTAAGTTCCTCCAGCTTAATGGATATGCAGTGACTAGGTAGGAGGAACATGTTGCCATTTTGTCTTGAGACACCTTTTTTCAGCCCTGACCAATTATATGATTATTTTGACTTGTCTCTTGTCTTCGTCTCCAGGGGTCTTAAAGACATGGAGCAGGACATTTCCTCCATTGAGAAGCGTTTTGCCTATGGCTTCCTGCAGAAGCTTTTAAAGTGGATGGACATCGCACAGGAATTTATTGCTCACCTTGGTACATGGTTAGAGTTAAATGACTTTATAATGTAGTGGATACATTAATTTGAACTATTTTAACATTTTATTTAAACAGAGGCTGTTGTTAGCAGTGGTAGAGTGGAGAAGTCACCACATGAACAGGAAATCAAATTCTTTGCCAAGGTGAGTCCTCTGACCCCTCCATTAACCTTCCTCTTGTTTGTCATTAGCAGAATAGCCAAAAGACACACTGTAATAGAACTTTACTTCACAGTTGTTCACAGATCACTGGTTTTGATTTTAATAATTTGAGGTTTTATATTTGAACCAGAAACCATTATTTTGTGGGGTTTTGTTTTGTAAACCTCTCTCCAAAAGTTGATATTAATATGTCATGTTTCATGTTTCTTACAGATTCTATTGCCACTGGTGAATCAATACTTCAAGAACCACTGCTTGTACTTCCTCTCCACTCCTGCAAAGGTCTTGGGAAGTGGAGGACTTTCCTCCAATAAGGAGAAGGAGATGATTGCAAGGTATGTGCGTGTTCAAGTAGTGGAGTCACTGCTTAAATCATGTGATTTTTACCATGTACCTCTTCTTTAGAACGTTAGTGTGATAGTGTCTGTCCTCTGCTCCCTCCATGTCTTTTCATCTATTTATTATAGTTCAATATCCTAATTTCCGGGACCTTCCTTTTACTTTGTACGTCACTTGAAACATTTTTCTCTCGTTTCCCTTTTGCCATTTCTCCCTCCCTATCCCTTTCTTTCCTATTTCCCCCTCCTGCCTCAGTATCTTCTGTAAGTTGGCTGCTTTGGTGAGGCAAAGAGTTTATCTTTTTGGTAAGGAATCTGCATGGTGGCATTATGGCCTGTCACCATCTCTGTCCCTCTGTCATTTCTTTTCTTCTAACCATTTCCCCCCCAATCATTTACATATTAACCAGTGTTGTATCACGGCTATTCTCACACTTTTATTGCCTTTTCTTGTTTTACCTCTCGTTCTAATTCTTCTCTCTCTGCAGCTCAGCTTCTGCTTGGCTTTGATGTTTTCTGTGATAGGGTGTTTAAAAGTGGCCTGGTGTTAGATTTATGATCACAAACCAGGAGTGTTTTCAGCATGAATGTTTGCAGTGGCGTGGTAAAGAAAACAAGAATTTATTGTTGAGTGTGGTTTTCTCTGCCTGGCTAATGTGAGTCAATAACTGCTTAATGTTCATTACCCTTCCCTATCACCACCATGTATTCTGTTAAGGTTAACCACACCTGTGTGTGCAGTGGTGACTACACATAGGCAAACACTTAAATCTAAGTCTTATATAGCATAGCATGTATCAGATATGAAGTTAGAGTCAATATTAATATATTCAATCACATTTAAATTTCTGATTTAATTGGAAAATGAAACACAATTCTACCAAGTTCATCTGTGTGAATAGAAATGTGGGATTTGATGTTTCTTCTTAACTCCTTCCTTTGTGTTTTCTTTTAAATAATGAATTTTAATTAGCTTCCTTTGAATTGTTTCCTATTTTGTAGATGATTCATGAAAACAAACATGACCACACTTCTTTTTCAGGAACGGATGCAAATGCAGTCATTAACTGTCTGCACATTCTGTCACGATCCTTGGATGCCAGGTAACCATTAGTTCTCAGTCAGAGACGAATGTCTGCAGAGTATCCGGCTATTGCTAAGAAGTTTCTTCAGAGTTTAATTTATTTCATCTGACTGTTTATGATACTTGAGATTTTTTATACTGCAGTAGGTTTATGGGATTTTTTTTTGTAAGGTCCAGGGTTTTTTAAGATTTTTCTTTTCTGTCCAATTACTTAGGACGGTTATGAAATCAGGCCCTGAGATTGTGAAGGCCGGGCTGCGCCAGTTCTTTGAGAGTGCTGCAGACGACATTGAGAAGATGGTTGAGAATTTGAAATTGGGAAAAGTGTCGAGTCGAAATCAGGTAAGACACAGTGTCAGGTGGTCTATTGATTCATTAACCTCATCATCTTCAAATATTTAACCCATTAACTGAGGTAGAAAATAATTTTTGGATCAGATATGGCAGATACCTCAGTTTTATTGTGCCCCAAAATTTGGCTATAAAAAAGCTCTGAGCTGTCATATGTAAACAGGAAAACAGAAAAAACTTTTTCAACAACTTTTGTGTTCCTGTAGGTTAAGGGTGTGGCACAGAACATCAGCTACACCACCACTGCCCTGCTGCCAGTCCTGACATCACTCTTTGACCACATCGCCCAACACCAGTTTGGAGATGATGTCATGTGTGAGTGAAGTGATCTTTTATTGTAGTCATTCTTTTTGAAAGAGACTATCTTAATGTATTAACTTCTCTTCTCTCCACACCCTCAGTGGACGACCTGCAAATATCCTGCTATCGTTTGATGTGCAGTATTTACTCCCTGGGCACAGTTAAGACTCCACATGTGGAGAAGTAAGTGAAAGTAACAAACTGGTGTCTCTAACTAATTTATATTAGGATAGTAGGTTAAGGAAAGTTTGTTTCTTATTACAAAAAAAATGTAATTTCTTGCTTCAGAGATATAAAGAACAAAAGTGTTTTTTATGATATTGATTTCTACCCTGACCTTTACGTGTGTTATTAAGAGTTTTTTTTTTTTTTCTCCTTTGCAGACAGAGACCGGCTCTTGGTGAGTGCTTAGCCCATCTTGCAGCAGCTATGCCAGTGGCCTTCATGGAGCCAGAACTGAATGAGTTCAACACCTTTTCAGTTTACACCACCAAGACTCCAAGAGAGAGAACAAGTGAGTTTAAGCATTTTGGTCTTCTTTTTCTTTATTATTTTTTTATTCTTATATTATATGTTTGTTTTTATTTATTTTGCTTCTGCCATTTCCCTTCACAGTTCTTGGTCTTCCCAGTCAAGTAGAGGAGCTGTGCCCTGACATCCCAGAACTGGAGGTCTTGATGAAGGAAATTCACGATCTGGCTGAGTCTGGTGCTCGCTACACAGAAATGCCTCACGTGATTGAGATCACTTTGCCCATGCTGTGTAACTATCTCCCACGCTGGTGGGAGAGGGGCCTGGAGAATTTCCCGGAGCAGGAGGGCCAGCTTTGTACCTCTGTCACCTCTGAGCATCTGAATCAGCTCCTGGGGAGCATCATGAAGATTGTTGTTAACAACCTGGGTATAGACGAAGCCTCTTGGATGAAGAGATTGGCAGGTGGGCAAGAAAAGGGGTTCATATCAGATACTGGGCCTCCAAGTTATATTGTTTACCATAGAGGTAGAAAGGTCTCTGATAGATATTAGGAAGTTGGCAGTTATATAACCTTGTATTTGAATATGCATCACTTTGTCTCACTTCTTTTATTGACTGCGTGTGATTCCTGTGTGTCAATTGTCCAGTTTTTGCCCAGCCCATTGTTAGCAGGGCTAAACCTGAGATGCTTAAATCCCACTTCATCCCCACCATGGAAAAGTTGAAGAAGCGCTCAGGAAAAGTGGTGGCGGAGGAAGAGCATCTGCGTATGGAGGGCAAAACAGAGGTGGACAGTGAAAACGGCACCATCCGAGACGAGTTTGCTGTCCTCTGTCGAGACCTGTATGCTCTCTACCCACTGCTCATCCGCTACGTGGACAACAACAGGTAGAGATTTCTTTAGTTAATTTCTACATTTACCAGAGAGCTGTATATTTAAGGGGATTTATTAGTTATAAAGAATTGTAAAGAATTGAAAGGTTAGTGTTAATCATGGTGTGTTTGTGCAGAGCAAGGTGGCTGACCTGTCCAGATCCTGATGCAGAGGAACTGTTCAGAATGGTGGGGGAGGTCTTTATTTTCTGGTCCAAATCACATGTGAGTATTTTTGGGATTTGCTTATACATTTATTTAATTAGTTTTTTTTTTTTTTGGATCATTGAGTTTACTTTCCTTTTGTTTATTTTTATTACAGAACTTTAAAAGGGAGGAGCAGAACTTTGTGGTGATGAATGAGATCAACAACATGTCTTTCCTGACTGCTGACAGTAAGAGCAAGATGAGCAAGGTGAGAGTGGAAAAGTAATTAAGTGACAATTTAAAGTTTTATTCACTTGCCACATGTTGTCGGCTGTAAGTCATTAACTATTCTAATAATTAATATTTTACTAACTTCACCCATTTCAAGCAGGGTAATAATAGGCTCTCTTGATTTTTTTCAGCAGTTTTTTTTCCCTTTTATAAAATAGTATGGATAAGAATTTAAAATAAACTAAATTCTAACCTGTTTATAATAATAGAATTGTTTTTAAAAAATATAAGAATGTTACATTACTCAGGTGTTAAAGGAGTGACCTTCCAAAGGACACTGGAAGAGACAATATTCCTAGGCCTGTGGACAGAAATAGGAGTGTGGCTAACTGTGTTTTCTCCTTATATCCTGTGTCGGGGTTGGACGCTGGGCCACTAGGCCGGAGATGGAGAGGTTAGACTGTGTTTGTGCACGAGAGCTGTGCTGATCGCATGGCACCCTGAATTTGGGGAGGCATTTCATCAAGCTTTGCCATGGATCACTGCTCTTTTTATACGTAGACCCTAACACCTCGCACACACACACGCATATATATATTTACTGTATATATAAATGTACATACAAACAGGGTTGTATGGTTGAAGTGCATACAGCGGAGATTGTAGATGAAAATTCTTTCTGTATGTGTGCGTTGGTGTGTGTGTATGTTTGCGTGTGGGAAGCGGTGGGGGGAGGGGGGTCTGTAGCAGCTTGATGAAAGTTCTGTGCTGTAGATTGTAGTGGCCTGAGAGGATTCATGGGGCTCGGTGGAGTGGGAGTGTGGCTCCATTTGTAGCGTGCACTCCTGCAGCCGAGCACCATCACTCTACTTGGTTTGATTAATAAATCGTTTGCCTCTAGATTGTCTCTGTCGGATATGGTTGTGATTTTGAAAATGTTTCCATGAATTTCTTCAATGGTAAAGATTCCTGTGCTGGGGGACTCTTCTCGTTCACACCTTCAGTCATATCATCCCATTCTACCATCATTAGATTTTCTTGGTCCATTCATTGCACATGTAAGCCAGGGTTGACAGTAATTCTGAGGTAGCTACACATCACCAGATACCTGACGCCATGTTTACTAACTGGATTTCATGTCTAATTCATTGACACCACCAATGAGCCATGAGTTAAAAATAATTCAGTTTTATTTAATTTGGTTACTTTATGGCACAAAGAGTCCCCTCCTCTCCTTGGTTATCAGCTGGGCATTACTGAAAGGGACTTCTGTTATCTGACCATCACAGCACCTCTTTCTGCACACACATTTACGCACCGGAGGCAGAAAGGGCGCTGTGGGGTTAGACAACAGTCAGGAATGACCGCTGGCAGCCTTTGGACAGGCGTGTGTGAGAAGAGCTCCAGGGCAATGGAGCTGACCCCACAGATTTGTGCTGCTCTGTCTGCTGTCCACTGGGCAGCTTTGCCTCGTGTACTACTTTCCACTGCGCTACTAACAGTGAGGCTGCATTTTGTGCAACGACTGTAGCGTATGCAGCTATGAAGCACCTGAACAAGTCAGAGGCTGGTATTTACAAGAAAATGTATTTGTTGGTCTCTCTTCAGAGGAGGTATTGTTGTTTTCATTTACTGTACTAGCATGTCATTAGCATTAAATGTTACTCGCAGCATATATTTAAATTGAAGCATTTACCTTTGAATAGGGTATAGAATAGATGCAATTCTTTTTATGAAATAGCAGGCTGTAAATACAACTCTCATTTCTCTTCTCTTAGTCGGGAGGCTCTGAGCAGGAGCGTACCAAAAAGAAGCGACGGGGAGACCGATACTCAGTGCAAACTTCACTTATTGTTGCTGCGTTAAAGAAGATGCTTCCCATTGGCCTCAATATGTGCTCTCCTGCTGACCAGGAGCTTATCAATCTTGCAAAGATCAGATACTCACTGGTACCGTTTATGATCCTGAATTCTACTCACTCTCATATATTGAGTCCTAGCATCTACTTTTATGACATTTCTGATTTGTGATAATTTAGTTAACTATATTTTTGTTTTGTTTTTTCCTCTGGCAGAAAGACACGGATGAAGAGGTGAGGGAGTTCTTGCACAACAATCTGCATCTTCAAGGCAAGGTGAGAAGACGTTCAAGATTCAGGAGATCTCTACTGTCACTGCTTGCACAATGAAAGTAGATCTTTAGATTAGCAACATGAGTATAATAATAGAAAAAAGGTGAAAAGAGAGTTTTATAAAACAATAAAAAATAACAAGTTGAATTCTACACGTGTCTCCAATGGCTTCAGGTGGAAGACCCAGCCATGCGCTGGCAGATGTCTCTGTATAAGGAGATGTCTGGAAAGGCTGAAGATGCTGAGGACCCTGAAAAGGTGGTGAAAAGGGTACAAGAAGTATCTGCTGTCCTTTACCACATTGAGGTGGTGAGTATAGAAAACAAACAGGACTAACTCATTGTATATGTTTCTGACTATTGTCAAAAAGTGTTTTTTCTTAACATTGTTTTGTTGTTTTAGAAATTTTAAAATGTAAAAATCTTCAGTTTTTAAAATGAATGTTTTTCTTTGTTTCAGACTGAACATCCATTCAAGTCCAAAAAAATGGTTTGGCACAAGCTACTGTCCAAACAGCGCCGCAGGGCAGTGGTGGCATGTTTTAGGATGACACCACTATACAACATCCCAGCGTAATAAAAACCTCTTTATATATAAATATATTGGCATTATACCTTCATAGCTTATAACACTCCCAGCAGCATGATTTAGATGAGCTAATTGCCGCCTTTCCTTTTTTGACTTTCTCTCTCACAGGCACAGGGCAACCAACATGTTCTTGGACGCATATAAGCGCAACTGGTTGGAGACTGAGGGTTACTCGTTTGAGGACAAGATGATTGATGACTTGTCTGTAAGACATAGTCCATATCCAGAGACACACATTAGTCAACAGAGGCTCATCAATCAAAACAGAGTCCACATTAAAGATCTTATCATTATTCATGCTGTTACATTTTGCTGTAATAACTAGAAAGCCATGGAGGAAGAGGAGGAAGAGGAAGAGGAGACCGAGACAAAGCCTGATCCCCTCCATCAGCTGATTCTCCACTTCAGCCGCACAGCTCTGACCGAAAAGACGTAAGAGCCTCCTGCTCCTTCGGCAGCTTTGTGTCCTCTTCTACTGTAGGATCCACTGATTTGTATTTTGTTTCACTTCATTGCAGAAAACTGGACGTTGACCATCTCTATATGTCGTATGCTGATATTATGGCAAAGGTGAGACTTCTGGATGAGCTGTCATCTACAGCAGTGGTCAAACTTCACTTTTAAAACAAAATGTGACCATGTGAAGTTGTATTTGTTCTCTGACCAGTTCATCTCCTCTCCCTCCAGAGCTGCCACATTGGTGAGGAAGACGAAGGGGGAGAGCAAGAGGGGGAGGAGCCATCCTTTGAGGTGCGACAGACAGAGATGGTATGGGGGGACCAGGGGAGGGGAAAGAAGGGAGTCAGCGGAGAAGCAACTCCCCAAGCTCTGAGTGACCACACCACGTCATCACACCCGGCACACCCCCCCCCCACCAAACATATCTCGTTTTCTCTCTTCTTGCCTTTCACACCGTGCCTATTTCCTGCTGTGGTGGACTGACCTGTGCATGCCTTTGCTGGGCACCAGTCGACTCAGTGTTTCAGAATCGGTTTCACCTTCTGAATTGCATGACTTGAGTGCAGAGAGATAGTGCAGCTAAAGATAAAAAAAAGGAACAAAAATTACAGTCAAAACAAACCATTGGTTTTTGCTGCTTAATTTCAGAATCACAATTTCCAAGCCTGGTGTGCTTCTGATATTTAATAGATGAGTTAAACATTTGTTTTTTTATTTTAAGGAAGTATGTCCTTTCCAGTCTTTCATTTTAATTTATTTTTGAAATTGTGACTTTTGAGCCACATATCAGTTCTCATATTACTCGAGAATATATCTTTGCTGGTTTGCTGCATGTGCTCCAGCGGGGCGATTGGGCCCTTTATAATGCCCTCGTCATTTCCCTGGCAGTGAACTTGCTGCACCAACAACTGTGCACAATAGCCTGCCAGCACACAAACGAACCTGCCAGCTGCCATGACTTACTCATTATCTCAAACAATGACAAGCTGCACTGCAATATAAGTTTAGTATAAGTGACTAGTTGGTATTTTGCAGTTAGTATTAGTATACATAATATCTGAGTTTCTAGTTCTCACAAGTAGTTGTTATAGGAAACAAACCTGCAGCTTAAGTTTCTGTGAAATACAATTTGTTTCACTTGTATATAGTATAGTATTTTTATGAGGTAATTTTTTTCCCTTAAAGTTATAGTGAAGACAAGATGTTGAGTCCTGCATGAAAAACTCATCAAAAACTGGCTGAATGTTCATCTTTATTATTTTGGATGTTAATTACTTAGATGGCAGCTATTTGTAATCACTGTGTCAGTGTGTGCCCTGTGTTCAGGTCTGAGGAGCCTAAAACCAAACCTCCATGTATCATCCCTGTCTGCATGAAACATTGTCACAGTCACGGAGTCATGAAAACTACAGTACAGTTAGTTGTGTGTTTGCTTTTTGCAGTACTTTGTTTTTGTCCAGGTTTGGACATTGTGATGTCATAGCAGTAGAGGCTTTCTCTGGATGGCAGCATAATAGCCATCTGTGCAAATTTCTTTAATTGATCATTTTTTTGAGATGGGCACAGATGCTACAAGTCAGGACTGAATTGAGCAGCTGTGATTTGAAACCTTGATTATAGCTGTCAAAACAAACCCTGCAGAGAGATTTCTGTAATAACTGTAGTAACTAAAGAACTTGCTCTGCTGCGCTGAGCTAGTGTGTGATCTGTATGTTGTTTGCACCACCCTTTCTCGACTTACACCCACCCGTACTCACCTGTTAATGAGGCACTGTTAACACCAAGTACTCAGTGGAAACTCCTAACAGCTAATATTCCTCTCATTATTGTTTGTCTTGACTTTGATTCGGAATTGTTGCCAAGTCTCTCCCTCTCTGTGCTCATGAAGGACTACAGTAAAAGCCTGCACAGTCAGCCGTACACACACACTCTGACAAAACCCAAACACACACTCATGCAAGCACATGCCCAAAGACTCGTCATTTAAAAGTACTGCTGCAGACACACATTCAACCACACCCTTACGCAAAAACAACTTGACACAATCGTGCAGCAACACAAAGCACACACACCCACTTAAACGTTCTCCTTTATATCGTAGACACAAACATGCTCCGTTTCCTCTTTAGAGACAGTCAGGCTCATGGGGGAGGGAAAAGGAGGGAGGAGTGGGACTGTGCTTGGTGTGGAGTGTGACGACTAAATCTTACCATTTTGTCAACAGGTTGATTTTTTTCTATCTTCTGTTCAAAGACTTTTTCTTAATGATGTAGGAATTCTAGGAGTTCTAAAAATCAAGGTTAAGGGCAGAAAGAGGGACGAGCCCGAGTGAAACAAGTCTGCTGGTTGGAAAAAAAAAACTGTATCAGTATCTATTTTGTAAAAGGGCCTGCTTTATTGTATCTCTTAATATTTATACTGGCAGTTTGATAAACTGTTAGACTCTGGTCTTCTTTAACGGGATGTACATTCATTAAAACTGCCTTTATTTAATGTAAGATAGCTGATAAAGTGAAGACAGTGATGCAGAAGACTTAACCCTGTGTGTAGCTGTAATGGACGATCATCCAATAGAAGACGTCATATGATTGGTCGATAAATGTAAATTGCTTCACAGATGAAATAACATGTTTGACTTTATCTGTGATTGAGCTTTAAAAGTGAAAATCAGAGAGCAGACCCTAACCAACCAAAATGCAGGCAGATAATTCAAATTATTTAACTGTTGTAAGCAGGAGCTGCATGCTGGAAAACTATTGTTGTCGTTTCCTTAAGAGCGTGTGAGGCACGTCCTGTATTCACAGTGTCTAAAAGGTAATACTTATTACCACCACTAATACATGTTAATACCCAGGTGTCAAGTCTGTAAATACAGTTTGTCTTTGCATGTGTGTGTGTGTGAGTTGAGTGAGTGCGGGGGGCAGTGCAGTCCCTGTTAGCAGGGTTACAACTGTCTCTTTGTCTCCTGCCCTACTCAACAGGAAAAGGAGATGGAGAAACAGAGGCTTCTGTACCAGCAGGCCCGTCTGCACAACCGCGGGGCTGCAGAGATGGTGCTTCAGATGATCAGTGCCTGTAAAGGTCCGTTGATGCAATTAGTAATGCACAAACACAATGTTTTACATATTTGACCGTAAGTGATTGTTACATGTCTGGTTACAGTTTCTTAATTGCAATTCTTTGCATGGCTCAACAAATCGTTGCTCCTGGTTGAGTCCGAGATCCAATCAGTGTGTCCTGTGTTGTGAGATTTGTCTCTGATTCGTCCTCTTTCTCTCCAGGTGAACCCGGAGCCATGGTTTCTTCTACTCTCAAACTGGGAATCTCCATCCTCAATGGAGGCAACAGTGATGTGCAGCAGGTAAATTGAGCATGTCAGAGTTTATATATAGTCACTTGTGATAAGTTCTGTTTTAAAGAGAAAGTAAGAATGAATTGAATTTGTCCTCAATTGCAGAGAATGCTGGACTATCTGAAGGATAAAAAGGATGTGGGATTTTTCCTGAGCGTTCAGGCTCTGATGCAGACCTGCAGGTCTGTGATGGCTTTACATTGTTTTATTAACGGTTCATTGGGGCTCTGGATCATTAAACTGATGGTGTGTCTTGATGTTTACAGCGTTTTAGATCTAAATGCTTTTGAGAGACAGAACAAAGCTGAAGGACTGGGGATGGTTTCAGAGGAAGGCACCAGTGAGTGAGGTTTCCCAGCACCTGACGACACATAAACTGTATTATGATTATGGAAGTCATACAGACATTTACATTTAATCCGGACATTTGTTTTTATTAATTTGCGATACAGTTGCAGTTGTGTGTCTATTTTTGTGTGCCTGTTTGTGGATGCCTGGTTGCAGGTATGTTTCCATGTAAGTGTGTCGAGAGTGTTGAGATCCTGTAGGTATTTTTTTGACTGTCTATGTATGAGGTGTTTATCATTCACTGACAACGATGAGATTTTTGGACTCACCACATGTCTCTGTTTTCTCTCCTCCCACGCCTCACTCACTTTGTCTGTATCCACGTCCGTTTTCTTGCATCAATTTGCTGCTCTCACGGTTCTCAGATAAGAAGCTAGAACGTGGTAAATAAATCTTTGCTGTCATATTTTTCTTTTTATTATCTCTCTCTTTGCTCTCTGTTCTCTCTCTCGCTCAGCTTTTTACGATCACCTTACTACTTTCCACGATGTGATCCTAAATCCTTTTCAGTTAACACACAGGGAACTAGTGTGTCAATCAGGCTCAACAGCGATCGGCTGTTGAGCCTGATTCCACTGTAACAGACGCCTGCATTTGATGCAGATGCTGCTGCGGCTTTACTCATACGTTGCCTATCTGCATATTCCTCCTAAAGCTGTTGTGAACTTTTTTCCTATCATTCTTTTGCGAGTGCTAAAGTCACAGATCTACTGTATCTCTGTTAACTCAGTCTGATAACTGAACAATGAGGCAACATTTTCTCCACCCACGGATCCTCAGTAGTGTCGTAGAAGATCATTGCTTCTTCTGTTATGTATCAGGATTCACCAGAATCCACGGCACAAGTCAGCTCATGGAAACCCTGCAGTATCTGAAACATTCATGTTTTTCCCAACATGATGTCAACAGATAGCGGGTACCGTAGGTTTTAGTAATTTTATTTATATACTGTATATTGACAGCCTATTATGAGTTAGGGCCACTGTGATTGCACCAAATGCTTGGTCAGGAGAATATCATGTCATGTCCTGATAGTCTTTTGAGAACTAATGTTATGCTGAAATCTGAGCATGTCTGTGCATTTTTGAGGAATACCCATTGTGGAGTTTCCAAATTTCTGCCAGCATGATGTGAGCCATCTCGTCTTTCTCAGCGGATGTTCCTATTAAAAAACGTCCATGAATTACTTCCACATCTGCAGGGGCCTACTCACCAAATGTGCTTCTTCCATCATCAGATAAACACATCATCCAAAGTCCTGGTCGACTGAAGTTTGCAGAGTTCTGTAGATCTGTCCTGCATGGTGGTGTGCCTTTAAGTTTTCTCCGTCTTCCTTTGTGTTTTTTCTGTTTTCCTAAAATTTCTCGTCGTTATCCACTGATGTTAAACACGTTTCAGTGTGGTGTGATCTGGTGTGTATTGATGTTTTTGTCATATACCTGTTTTATGTTTAAAAATGTAAAGAAATTAAGTTGTGAAAGGGCCGAAATAGGGACGGAAATATGTGCTTCATGCTGCTGCTGCAACTTAGTTTAATCGATGGTTTGGTTAATTAGAGCGTCATTTTTGGATGAAAGTTTAATATACTCTAAATTACAGAAAGATAAAAAAAGAAAAGTTCACAGTCACACGGGTGTGAAAACACATGCATGTGACTTAAAGTCCGCTTTGGTTGATGGCATTTTCACTAATTATATTTAACAACTAGTGCACTTCGCAGTGTTTCATCAAGTTTGCAATGGAAAGTTCAATTTCCTATATTACATGTAAATCTATTCTAGATTTTAAAAAGAAAAAAAACTAAAGATAAGTTTTGTACTAAAATTAAAAAACTATATTTACATATATAATTCTTTGCAGTGACTACTGGTTGTAACTGTTTTAATAATAATAATAATAATAATAATAAGGTTAACATATCATGGTTTTACACACACTAATTTGCTGTTCTTTTATTTCTGGGGCCAGATGAGAAAGTGATGGCAGATGATGAGTTTACATGTGACCTCTTCCGCTTCCTGCAGCTTCTTTGTGAAGGCCATAATAACGGTGGGTGCAGGAAGGACACTGGCTAGTTTAAATTAAACTTCCTGTTACAAAACTAATAATGTAGTTGCTTTAAAAAGCACTGGAAATATATATGAACCACTTAACCTAGACAAGAATATTGTGTATTTGTCCAGGACCACAACAGTTGCAAAAATTTGTGTTCTAAATAAATATTGTTTGGTTTTTTTCTATGTGAAGATTTTCAGAACTATCTGAGAACCCAGACAGGCAGTACCACGACCATCAATATCATCATCTGCACTGTGGATTACCTGCTGCGTCTACAGGTCAGTTTAAGGCACACTGATGCTGTGAATATGCATTGACCTTTGACCCATCCCTATCTGTCGTCTCTAAACATTGTAACATATCCAGAAACTTTGCTTCTTTAACTATTTACAAAATTTTGTGACATTAAGCTATTGGTTCCCAAAGTGGGGGGCAGGTTCTCCAGGGGACATGGGGCTATTGTGGGGGCTGCAGCAAGTACATTAGGCTGATGTTAAACCAGGTTTGTAATTAATAAAACATGATATGTGATGAGATGAGTATGTCAAACATTTTCTCCCTCTTCTCTCTCCACTTCTCTTTGTCTGCAGGAGTCCATTAGTGACTTTTACTGGTACTATTCAGGTAAAGACATCATTGATGATCCTGGCAAGAGGAATTTCTCCAAAGCAATGACTGTGGCCAAGCAGGTCTTCAACAGTTTGACTGAGTACATCCAGGTAGGAAAGCAAAGAATGGCCTCAACAACAGGGGTCTGTGGACTTTGGTGACCCTGGATTCATAACAAGAACAGGGCAAAAGTCAGTCTGTCAATGTGACAAATGACACTTGTTGTTCAAACCTTGCTGTTGGTCAAAGCTGAGGGACAGGCCAAAGTTTTGAACTGCTTAAAAATGACAAAGGAATTTATATGTATTTTTATTATTTATGTTGCTTTTCTTCTCCACCAGGGTCCCTGCACTGGTAACCAGCAGTCTCTGGCCCACAGCAGGTTGTGGGATGCTGTGGTGGGCTTCCTACATGTTTTTGCTCATATGATGATGAAACTAGCTCAGGTGAGAGACATTACTAGAAAACATAAATTTCACTCCTTTAGTGGTTTTATTATTATTATAAATTTATCTTTGATCATTTTACCTGATTAAAATTGGATGATGCTAAATGCTATTTAATTTGACTTTGAGTTGACTAATTATATGAACTTTCTTTTTTATGGGTCCCACAGAGTAAAGTATGTATTTATTTGATTATTACTCTTTATTCTATTTAAAAAGCTTTCTCTACTTTTCTGTCAAATTGTTCCTGCCACTTTACTGAGCTATGGTTTAGAGCCATAGTGACGACAGCAGTGCAGTCTAAAGATTGAACTTGTGGTGGTCACGTCACAGTTAAATCCTCTGTTCATATCAATGCATGCCTGTGAAACAATTTAGTTTTAATTCCATCTAATCATTGTGTTTTTTCTGTAATTTGTCCATTAATTACTTTCTTTTGTTATTTTTTAAATGATTTTAGACAAATATTTACATTAAGAATTTGTCATTTATAAGAATGGTTAAAAAAATCCCATCAACACTGTAGATTTCCATGTGTTAAAATAATCTCCAAAGATGCAAGTAAAAATGGCAGAAACAATTTGCGTAAAACATCTTTTCTTTTATTCTTTTCTGAGATTTAATCTTTGCCTTAGAATTTCAATTTTCCTTTGCTGTTCTTTTCCTCTTGTGCGTAACTCAAACTGACCCGTGCCTAGAGTTTATTGGTGTTTTTAGACAAATTATTAGTTTTGTATGTATGTTTGACTTAACACAATGCTGCAGTGTTTCCATTCTTCTCTAATCCTGTTTGCGTGTGTGTGTAAATTCTACTGATGCTGGTCTTTTTAACACAAAGTTTTATATATTTATTCCATTTATTTTATATTTTTAAAATCCTTTTACAGGAGAAAGTAACTAATTAGCCTCAGATGGACTCACAGAATACATTTTAAGTGACTGAAAAGCTAATTTTGACCAGAGAATGTTAAGGAATATAACATAGCACAGACAGGGGCTCAGAATGAACAAATCAAATCAAATCTAAATAAAAGTTTGAAGTGTAACATGTTGATTTCCATGTGTTAGATGCACCCAGATCCTGGACAACGGAATGGCGTAAGGTTCTTTGTCTGCAAATGTCACCTTCAACACTTATTGCTGCACTATTATGCTTCACCTTATTTTGTTTTTTTACAAAAATAACAAGACCCCTTTTCTTTTCTTTTTTTTTGCATAATTCCTTGTGGCAGTCTCTTTTTCTTTCTTTCTCTTCAACATCCTATCAGTTCCTTTGCATCTGTTTAATAAAAAAAAATTGGTAAATATTTAGTTATGCCGTTAGATATTTTTTAATCGGACATTGATGGTTTCTGTGTTTTTTTTATTTATTTATTTTTTTTGGTAATATTTTGCTTTTTGCTCACCTCACCTGACACCCTTTTCCTCTAGACCTCCACCAGACTCACTGGCAAAATCCTTAGTTTGAAATTGATGCTTGTTTTAAATCTGCTGGTGCAGTTCTTCAGGAGTGCTGGACTCCTTGCTCCCATGCTGCAGTGGCTCTTACCAATAAAATGCATTTTATAGGCTTATTCCCGCCTCCTCTGAAACCCGTTTCCCTGTATCTGGCTTGCTTCTCCATCACATTCTATGTCTTTTTTACAATGTTAAAAACTGATGTTTTTTTATTTAAAAATGCAAACCCAGGATCATTTTTGGAGTAGAGCACACTCCGAGGTAGTGTCTCCATTTTATTTGCTTTACTTAGAAAGAGAAGTACACATCCTCTCAGCTGTGATTTATCATCAAATACACACGTCTCTTTCATTCAGATGAACACATACTAACACTTTTTTTTTTCACTGTTTTTGTTTTGTTGTTTTTGCAATTGCAGGACTCGAGTCAAATCGGACTCCTGAAAGAACTGCTGGATTTGCAGAAGGACATGGTGGTGATGCTTCTCTCTCTGCTTGAAGGTACAGTGTCTGTCAATGACTCATTTCCTGTTGCACTT